GATCTCTGTAGTCAAAATATTATTTGTTATTGTTGTAAAGATAACGGGATAAATCCTTTCTCATGAGAAAGAAAATCCTGACAATTCCCACATTATTTTTGGTCCTGTAACAACTGATTTGAAGATTGAGTTTCTATACATGTGAACAGAACTCTCACTCTTACTATTTACCAATGTTAATCTTACTTTCTGGATTAGCAGATAACCTTCCAAGTTCATTTTGCTTCTTTATAGGCTATTTTGATGTATAAGTGGGACTGATATCATTGATGTTAATTAAAAATAGGGTTTGGGGAGAAAGAACCCCAGCAGTAATTTGAATATAATTACATGAATGAACAATGCAGGTTTTTTTTTAATTCATTCTTGGGAAATAAATGTTAATAGGATCTCTTAATGGAAATGAACACATCAATGTGCATTAAAAAAAAAGATGTAATTAATTTTGTTGCCTGAATAAGATAGCCAGCAAAAGTCATCACTTTCCCCATTGATACTTATATGATTTTAATGAGGCCTATCTCTCAACTAGTTGCTAATGATTTTCTTGAGCTTTCCAAGTAAAGTACATCTCTACCAAACAGAACTGTTGTCATCAGGATTAAACCAGGTACACAGAACAATACATGGGACATCAAGGCTGACTTTGGAGCCATCCCATCGTGGACAGATGACTGCAAAGGTGCTCTACCACAGGATGAAATGCTCCCACAGCTAGCAAGAAGACTGACCTCTCTTATGCAGATCCTGACCCTTTCTTTAAAAGGAATAAATAAACCTTGTTTGATGTATTTGCATGCGGTGTCTGTTTCCTTCTGAATTTGAATTGTAATGCCACCAATTTTAAGAATTTGAGAGATCTGATTGGAAGAGGCAGGGCTCATAGCTTTCCATTCATCAAATAAATCAAACAATTTCACTTCCCTGTTGTGATTATTTCACAAATAATTCTCCCACTCCCAGCATAGCAGTTTGTTGTAAAAGTGTAGGAGACAATCTTTTTTTTTTTCGTGTAAGCTAACATTTAGCTCAAATCTATTTTAAACAAGAAGCTCTTAGCAAGTTAAGACATGAACTTAAAATAAGTGTGAACTAGCATGTATGCACCTCTTTAACTTGCTAATATCAGAACTACGTCTATCCAGAATTAAGAAAGAGACATCTAAAACTTTGTGACAGTTTTCCATCTCTCACAGTCAGATGAACTGGCACTTGGCCTGGATCCAATGGTATCCTTCTGATAGGCCAACCTTTGATTATATCTTTCATCTCCCTTGTGGCACCACAACAACTGCATTGATTTGTAATTTGTGATTTTTCTGTTTGGCAAATCTCTAGCTTTCACCTTAAAAAATGTTTCATAGACTTAGACCACTCATAAACTCAACTAAGCCTTCAGGGCAAACACTATCCAATCCCTTTTGGGATCACTAGGCACCCTTTCTCTTAATTAAAACCCACAGTTCATCCTCAATAGTCACTACAGCTAAGTCCATCTTAGCCACTTCAGCTGCCAGCCATTAACCTCCTTTTCCAACTTTCTGTCCAGGTTTTTGCTTCTTCAGGAAAAGTTTTTCCTTCTTAACTCTACCTCTACCTGATGCACATACCAGCCTACCTGCAGCCCCTTCTTCTCCTATGAGAGTTTTACTATGAGATTCTTAACTAAGCCTTACTCTAAGCTCCTTATCAACAAAGCAGGTGCCAACTGTTTTGTTTGTTTTCAGCAAGGAGTTATGGATACGTGAAGAATCATATTTATTGAAAATTTTCATACAATAATAAAAAACCAAAAAGAAAAAAAAACAGGAAAAAAGAGGAAAAAACCCATAGTTAAGAAACATATTGATGACTTCTGACCTTCTTTTCAATAGATAATTACATTCTTATTGTCTCTTTTCCCTCTTAAGTATTTTACAAGTCCTTTCACCCCTTCATTTAGTCCTCATCTTTCGTAGTCTTCAAATCCATAAATCATCAATTTGTTTTTTTCTTCTTTCAGCAAAAAGTCCATATAAGGCTTCCAGTCTTCGAAAAACCATTTTTGTTGTTTGTTCTCGAACTAAATAGGTCAGTT